GTATCTGTGAGTTCACATTCCCCGCACCCCAGATGACGGGCTGGGACCAGACCTGCCCAGCCCACACCAGGCACACAGAAGGCCCGGCATGTGTCTGCCGCACGAATGAGTGAGTGACTGAGGGAAAGAGGGGATGACTGAGCATCCTTCAGTCAAAGTGGGCAGCCTGGTGCTCAGGCACCTGCTGGGGTACAGCTTGTGGGGTGCTCCCCGTCTGCTCTGGGGGGACGTTCTACCCTACCCAGACTCGCCCTTTCCAAACTCTCCAAGATTCCCACTCCCACAGCTGCTCACCGCCAGGGGCCCCACCCTCCACACCCCCTCACAGGCTTCTCCTCAGGGCCCCCATCCCTGGGAGCCCAGGAAGGAAGAAAGCAGTGTCCACGTGACGAAGCCCCAAGTGGCCATCCCCCTCCGCGGCCTGGCAGGAACCCCAAGGTTTCCGTGTCGGCCCCTTGCCTCAGCCTCAGGTACGGGGCCGAACCTGACGGGCTCCTTACCGTACATCTTGCCCTCGTCCGACAGGATAATTTTACGGCGGCCACAGGGCGGGTAGATGGCCAGGGCCTCCTGGAAACTCTGCTCAATGTCCGGGCTCCACACGCCCTCTGCATCATTGTCGATGGGCTTGTCCAGCGCCTGACTGCCCCCAGAGACGTTGCTCCCCTCAGGGGAGTTGGGAGAGCTCCACTCGTTGGAGGTAATGGTGCCGGCCTTGCCCTCCAAGGCTCTGCTTGGAGGGGCGCCCGTTGGACCTGTGGGGACAGGAACCGCAGCCCCGGTGAGAAGTGGACGAACTGTGTGGGTCATAGGATGAGGGCACTCCAGGGAGTGCCAGAGCCCAAATCAGTTGCTCAGGAAGCAAAGCGTCAAGTGACAGGTCTGTGAGAATCAGGCCTGGGGACTTGAACAGGTCATTTCTCCTCTGGAGAGCTCGTCTTCCCATCTGTCGAATGAGCACAATGACCTAGGCACTCCCTGACATCAAGGTTCTAGGAACCCAGACAAGGGCTGAGAAGTAGGAGACAAGGACGCAGTGCCAGGGATGCACTGACATTAAATCAACACCGGGCAAAAAGCATGCAAAATACTGGGGACTATTGGTGGGAATGCAAAATTGTGCAGGCCAGGCGCTGGGGGTCACGCCTGTAATCCCAGCACTCTGAGAGGCTGGGACAGGTGGATCACTTGAGGTCAGGAGCTCAAGACCAGCCTGGCCAACACGGTGAAACCCCATTTCTACTAAAAATACAAAGATTAGCCAGGTGTGGTGGCAGGCACCTGTAGTAATCTCAGCTACTCGGGAGGCTGAGGCAGGAGAATCGCTTGAATCCGGGAAGCAGAGGTTGCAGTGAGCCGAGATCCCGCCATGACACTCCAGCCTGGGCGACAGAGCGAGACCATATGACCCAACATCTGGGTATATACCCAAAAACACGGAAAGCAGGGTCTCAAAGAGATATGTGCACACTCACGTTCATGGTGGCATTATTCGCAAGAGCCAAAAGGTAGAAACAACCCACATGTCCATCAATGGATGAATGGATGAACGAAATGGGTCTATACTTACAGCAACATGTAAGCTTTAAAAAGGAAGGCAACCTGGACACGTGCTGCAGCACAGCACTCTGTCTGGGGGCAGAGTCTCCTGATTAGGACATTACGCTGAGTGAAATACACCAGTTACAAAACAACCCAAACACGACATGGTTCCACTGACGAGGTATCTAAAGCAGCCACATTAGGCCAGGCACAGTGGCTCATGCCTACAATCCCGGCACTTTGGGAGGCTGAGGCAGGAGGATCCCTTGAGCCCAGGAGTTTCAGACCAGTCTAGTCAATATAGGGGGACCCCATCTCTACAAAAAATTAATTAAAAAAAAAGTTATCCAGGTGTGCTGGCTCACACCTACAGTCCCAGCTACTCCAGAGGGTGAGGGGGGAGAATCACTTGAGCCTGGGAAGTCAAGGCTGCAGTGAGCCATGATTGCGCCACTGCACTCTAGCCTGGGTGACAGAGCAAGGCAGTCTCAAAATAAATAAATACAATACAATAAAAATAAAGTAGTTGGCAGGGTGCAGTGGCTCCCAGCACTTAGGGAGGCTGAGGCAGGAAGATCATTTGAGTCCAGGAGTCAGCAAGACTTCATCTTTACTAAAATGTTAAAAAAAAAAAATGTTTTTAAGTGGTCAAACTAATAGAAACGGAGTAAATGGTGGTTACCAGGGGCTGGTGGGAGAAAGAAACAGAGACTTGTGACTTGAGGGGTAGAGTTTCGGTTTTGCACGATGAAGAAGTTTCTGCAGATCTGCCGCACAGCAACATGAATATACTTAACACTACCAACCTGGATACTTAAAAAGGGTTAGGATGGTAAATTTTGTGGTCTTTTTTACCACAATGAAAAATTTTTAAAAATGCATATACAATATAATATAGGTCACTGTTCTCCTGTTCCCTTCCCGACTCAGGCTCTGTCTAAAAGAAACAGTCTGGGCAGCTCCTCACACACTGGTGCAATGGCAGGATTGACTTTCTGGTGCCTCTGGGGGCTCATGGCCACAACCCCGCCTTCCCCTAACATGAAACAAATCCAGTGACCTCTCGGCTCCAACCATCCAAGCTGTAAGCTTCCAGACACAGTTCTCAGGGGTTTATGAAAGAGCAGGACATACTAGTCATCTTAAGGCAGTTTTTGGGTTATGAGTACCAGGTGGGAACCACGTACCTCCCACAGCCCTCCCAGAGCCCCCAACTTCTCCCCATCCCAGCCACTGAGTCCACTTGTAAAGGAGGACCTCACCCCACCACACACATTGCCCGTCCCTTCTCCCTGACCAGCCTTGAAGAGTAATGCAGTCCAGCAGCCCAAACCCAGGCTGGGGGTCTAAACCCCCGAGTTCACCACTTCCACCTCGGACCCTCTAAAGTGAGACCTCCCAGAGCGTTCCTTGCTTATCACTCCCCTCCATACCCTCAAACCCCTCATCTCCCACCCACGGCCTGTGAGAAAGACAATGTTCTTCACAGAGAGGCACTGTGAGGGTGGGGGTGAGGGTCGAGGGAAGGGAGGGGCTAAGTGTGGGAGGCACATCCCAGGAGGAGAGGTCAAAAGGAGCTTGGCAAAGCAGCTGGCGCAGACGTGTAGTGGGAAAGAGGGTAGAGCCACTGATACTTAAAGCAGGAACCGGCCGGGCACAGTGGCTTACACCTATAATCACAGCACTTTGGGAGGCCAAGGCAGGTGGATCCCCTGAGGTCAGGAGTTCAAGACCACCCTGGCCAACACGGCGAAACCCCGTCTCTACTAAAAATAAGAAAATGAGCCGGGCATGGTGGCAGGTGCCTGTAATCCCAGCTACTCAGGAGGCTGAGGCCAGAGAATCACTTGAACCCGGGAGGCAGAGGTTGCAGTGAGCCAAGATGGTGCCACCGCACTCCAGCCGGGGCAGCAGAGCGAGACTCCATCGCAAAAAAAAAAAAAAAGCAGGAACCCCCCCACACAAGGAAACCTAAGCCAGCTCCTTCAGCTTGCTGAAAAGGGCACTGAGGCCCAAAGGCCTAAGGACGCGCCCAAGGTCGCGCAGTGAGACCAAGGTGCAGGCCAAGGTCTTGTTCTCAGCCCTTCAGAGTCACTGGTCTTTTTAGTGTAACAAGTATCGTCTGTGGTCTCTGTGGCTGTTAAAGTCAGTTTTCATTAGAGTTTGTCTGGGGGCAGAGTCGCTTGATCAATAATAAACTAGCTTATTCTCTTACCAGAAATTCTGGTCTTGACTCTATTCTAAACATGAAAACATTTTTCCATACTTACAAAACAAATGTCTTTTTTTTTGGGGGGGGACGGAGTCTTCCTCTCTCACTCAGGCTGGTGGGCAGCGGTGCAATCTCGGCTCACTGTAACCTCCGTCTCCCAAGTTCAAGCAATTTTCCCACCTCAGCCTACGGAGTAGCTGGGATTACAGGCACACATCACCACACCCAGCTGATTTTTGTATTTTTAGTAGAGACGGGGTTTCGCCACGTTGGCCAGGCTGGTCTCAAATTCCTGACCTCAGGTGATCCATCCACCTCGGCCTCCCAAAGTGCTGAAATTACAGGCGTGAGCCATCATGCCCGGCCCAAAACAAACTACTTGAAAGAGTTGTCAACTTTAATTTCTGGCAATATAGTAGATAAGATGATTTTAAAACTCTCATTTTATAAATAAATTTATAAACAACTGAGCAAAGCTCCCTTAGTAATGAGGAAGCTGGTTTTTTATTTTTCATCACTTTAAATTTTTACATTTTTTTTTATTGTTTAGAGACAGAGTCTTGCTCTGTCGCCCAGGCTGAAGCACACTGGCAAGATCATAGCTTAGTACAGCACTGAACTCATGGGTTTAAGAGATCCTCCTGCCTCAACCTCCTGAGTAGCTGGGACTCTAGTCACACACCACCATGCCTGGCTAATTATTTATTTATTGTAGAGATTATGTATTTACTGTAGAGGTCTCACTATGTTGCCTAGACTGGTCTTGAACTTCCAGCCTCAAGCAGCTCTCCCTCCTTGGCCTCCCATGGAGGCAGCCACCATGCCTGGCCACAGCTGGGTTATAATGGATGCTCAGAGATGAGACCTTAGACCGGAGAGATGCAGAGAAGCTGAAACTGGGAACTACACCTACATCCTCAGAGAACCAGTAGAACACTGACAAAATGTGACAGTGAAGATTCTCTGGGCCAGGCATTCTCTGGGCCAGGTGAAGCGGCTCATGTCTATAATCCCAGTACTTTGGGAGGCTGAGGCGGGAGGATCATTTGAGGTCAGCAGTTCAAGACCAGGCTGGCCAACATGGCAAACCTCATCTCTACTAAATATACAAAAATTAGCTTGGCATGGTGGCACATGCCTATAATCCCAGCCACTTGGGAGGCTGAAGCAAGAGAATGACTTGAACCTGGGAGGCAGAGGCTGCAGTGAGCTGAGATCGCGCCACTGCACTCCAACCTAGGCAGAGACTCCATCTCAAAAACAAAAACAAAAACAAAACAAAAAAAGATTCTCTGTCTTAGCCTAAATTCTAGATATAAAAAAGAATTCTTTTTTTTTTTTTTTTTTTTTTTGAGATGGAGTCTCGCTCTGTCGCCCAGGCTGGAGTGCAGTAGCCGGATCTCAGCTCACTGCAAGCTCCGCCTCCCGGGTTCACGCCATTCTCCTGCCTCAGCCTCCTGAGTAGCTGGGACTACAGGCGCCCGCCACCTCGCCCAGCTAGTTTTTTGTATTTTTTAGTAGAGATGGGGTTTCACCGTGTTAGCCAGGATGGTCTTGATCTCCTGACCTCGTGATCCGCCCATCTCGGCCTCCCAATGTGCTGGGATTACAGGCTTGAGCCACCGCGCCCGGCCAAGAATTCTTATAAAAAAAAAATTTGTAACCAAGGGCCTACCCTTTAATGGATTTGAAATTTGAATTTTATATCGCTTAGTAACCTCCAGTCAATTCTTAAAAATAAACAGTGGTCCCAGGCGGAAAATCTCTGAAGAGATTATGTTTAAATGATTATTGACCTAAATAAGGAATTGTAAATATGGGAAAGAACAAGATATTATCAAAAATACAAAGTAGGTTGGAAAAAGAACTACATCAAACATTTAAAAATAAACATTTTAGTCACTGATTTTAAAACTCAATGGTTGGGATTAACAAGTTAGATACAGCTAGATAAAGAAGTAACGATCTGGAAGACAGAGCTGAGGAAATTACCCAAATGTA